CAAAGAAGCCCAAACAAAAAGAAAAAAAGAAAAAATGAGAGAAAATGAGAGAAGGGACAATGCTAATATCCTTTTTCCACACTTGTGCATCAAAGTAGCACCATGTTCTTCATGATAGAGAGTCTCCTATTTTGTCACTTTCATATACTAGTGGTAATTTTTCATTATTCCAATGATGGGCTTCCTCAAAGTGCCCTAGGTCTTCATGAGTAAGCGAGTTGGATGCACACCCACTTAGTTTCTTTTTGAGCTTTCATAAACTTATAGCTCTAGTGCATCCGTTGCATGGTAATCCCTACTCACTTGCATCAATATCAATTGATGGGCATGTCCATAGCCCATTAATTTGCCTAGATAATGTGAGACTTTCTCCTTCTTTTTGTCTTCTCCACAACCACCATATTCTATTCCACCTATAGTGATATATCCATGGCTCATGCTCATGTATTGCGTGAAAGTTAAAAAAGTTTGAGAACATAAAACTATGAAACAATTGTTGGGCTAACACCGGAGTTGTGCATGATGAAATACTTTGCGTGATGAAGATGGAGCATAGCCAGACCATATGATTTTGTAGGGATAACTTCCTTTGACCATGTTATATTGAGAAGACATGATTGCTTTATTAGTATGCTTGAAGTATTATTGTTTTTATGACAATATTAAAATTTTGTTTTGAATCTTATGGATCTGAACGTTCATGCCATAATGAAGAAGATTACATTGATAAATATGTTAGGTAGCATTCCACATAAAAAATTCTGTTTTTATCATTTACCTCGAAAACAAGCAGGAATTAAGCTTGGGGATGCTTGATGCGTCTCCAACGTATCTATAATTTTTTATTGTTCCATGCTATTATATTATCTGTTTTGGATGTTTTATATGTATTAATGTGCTATTTTATATCATTTTGTGGGACTAACCTATTAACCTAGTGCCCAGTGCCAGTTGCTGTTTTTTCCTTGTTTTTGGCTTTTTCGAAAAGGAATATTAAACAGAGTGAATAAAAAATTTGCGATGATTTTTCTTGGACTAGAAGACACCAGTAGGACTTGGAGAGGAGGCCGGAAGGTTCCCGAGGAGGCCACAAGCCTGCAGGGCGCGCCCCAACGGGGCGCCCCCTAGCTTGTGGGCCCTTTGGAGGTCTCCTAACCCTAATTCTTGCTCTATAAATTCACAAATATACCCAAACCACCAAAGGCATCCACCAAAATACTTTTCCACCGCCGCAAGCCTCTGACCTCGTGAGATCCCATCTTGGGACCTTTTCTGGCGATCTGCCGGAGGGGGATTCGATCATGGAGGGCTTCTACATCAACCCTATCGCCATACCGATGACGCGTGAGTAGTTTAACACAGACCTACGGGTCCATAGCTAGTAGCTAGATGGCTTCTTCTCTCTCTTTGATCTTCAAAACAAAGTTCTGCTCGATGTTCTTGGAGTTCTATCTTATGTAATACTTTTTTGCGGTGTGTTTGTTGAGATCCGATGAATTGAGGATTTATGATCAGATTATATATGAATACTATTTGAGTCTCCTCTGAATTCTTATATGCATGATTTGATATCTTTGTATTTCTCTTCAAACTATCGATTTGGTTTGGCCAACTAGATTGGTTTCTCTTGAAATGGGAAAGGTGCTTTGTTTTGGGTTCAATCTTGCGGTGTCCTCACCCAATGACATAGTAGGGGTAGCGAACCACGTATTGTATTGTTGTCATCAAGGATAAAAATATGGGGTTTACATCATTTTGCTTGAGTTTATCCCTCTACATGTTATCTTACTTAAAGCGTACTCCGTTCTTATGAACTTAATACTCTAGATGCATGCTGGATAGCGGTCGATGTGTGGAGTAATAGTAGTGGATGCAGGCAGGAGTCGGTCTACTTATCACGGACGTGATGCCTATATTCATGATCATTGTCTTAGATATCGTCATAACTTTGCGCTTTTCTATCAATTGTTCATCAGTAATTACTTTACCCACTGTATGCTTTCCTTAAGAAAAAAGCCTCTAGTGAAACCTATGGCCCCCGGATCTATTTTCCATCATATATTTTCAGATCTATAGACCAAAAAAACCCAAAAATACCTTGTTGAGTTTTATTTACTTTTATTTTTTTACATTTTAGTAATAATTTATATCTATCTCTATCAGATCTCATCCTTGCAAGTGACCGTGAAGGGATTGACGGCCCTTTTATCGCGTTGGGTGCAAGTGTTTGATTATTTGTGCAGGTGCATAGATTGGAGACTTTCTTGTACCTCCTACTGGATTGATACCTTGGTTCTCAAACTGAGGGAAATACTTGTCTCTACTTTGATGCATCACCCTTTCCTCTTCAAGGGAAAAACCAATGCAAGCTCAAGAAGTAGCAGGGAGACTATCGTTTTAAGCACAAGAGCAAGGAGTTCATCATCAACACACTGTCTATTACCTTTGGGAGAGTGGTGTCTCCTAGATTGGTTAGGTGTCGCTTGGGAGCCTCCGACAAGATGTGGAGTTGAACCAAGAAGTTTGTAAGGGCAAGGAGATTGCTTATTTCGTGAAGATCTACCCGAGTGAGGCAAGTCCTTCATGGACGATGGCCATGGTGGGATAGACAAGGTTGCTTCTTCGTGGACCCTTCGTGGGTGGAGCCCTCCGTGGACTCGTGCAACTATTACCCTTCATTGGTTGAAGTCTCCATCAACGTGGACGTACGATAGCACCACCTACCGGAACCACGCCAAAAATCTCTGTGTCTCCATTGTGTTTGCCTTCTCCAAACCCTTCCCTTTACCTTCATATGCAATGTTTTACTTTCCGGTGCTATACTCTTAGAATTGCATGTGTAGGTTGATTGATTGACTTGTCATAATTGCTAAAATCTGCCCACAACTCAAATCGGGAAAAGGATAGATATTTATTTGGTCAAGTAGTCTAATCATCCCCCCCCCCTCTAGACATACTTTCGATCCTACACTCGGCAAGTTGGGGTGGATGCTGACGACGAGGCGAATCTCACGGATTGGTGCCGCGACAAAGGAGGTCGAAGCAAGGCCATGAGGAGCATAAGTGCGATCACCATCCTAGTGTTGATGCAGTTGTGGAAACACCATAACTCAATTGTGTTTGAGGGAGCCACACCATCAAAGAACAACATCATCCTCGCCATTGTCAAGGAAGGGCGAGCATGGAAACAAGCGGGTCTTCTAAAGGGCGACATGAACAACTTCTTTCACCAGGTGGAAGGGTGGGCTAGACCGAGTAGTTAGTGTTACTAGAGGTAGCTACGGTGGATGGTGTGTGGTGGTGTTAGTGTTCTTGTACATCTGCTTGTAACACTAGTACCCTGTCTCCTATCTATATAATATAGTACGCACACTCATGCATATTCGGGAAATAAATATGTTCAATATGTCTTCTCTTTAAGATACCCATGGTAGGAATAAACTCATGAAGTATTCTCCACCAGAAATGATTTATCTTTTGGAGAACTTTGAGTTGCCAACATAGCCTCCACATGGGATGATCAGAACCTCGTGATGATGTTGGATCAATGTGCCGGCGTGCAGCTGCATTATTTGATAAACAGGGATAAGCTGAGCGCACTGAATACATACCATGTTCTCGAATGCCTCACAGTCCAAACCACCAAGAGGAATGGAGAGGATTGCATCAGCATCCAGAGGGAGGAAAGAGTTTCTTATGAGATTATCATCCCATGTTCCATCTTCGCAAATGAGGTCAGACACTAGAGTTAGTGAGTATTATCAGGTTTCACAAGGGGCGTAGTGACGGATTAGACGGGATCCATTTCTTTTCAAATATTGATCTTTGTGCCTGTTCCCACCCTTTTGGTGAGACCCATGTTTAGGACTGTACGCCGACTAATAATCGCTCGGCAGGTGTTGTTCTCTGCTTCTTGGTTACCCGTCGGGATCTACTAAAATGTACCGAGTAATAATCGCTCGCCAGGTGTTGTTCTCCGCTTCTTGGTTACCCATCGGGATCTGCTACAAAGGTAACAACAGCCAGGCAGACCTAGCTAGGAACTCTCCCGCAATAAAATGCTAGCTAGACCTAGACCTACGGTATGTATAGCAACTGCTCTTCTTCCCCATAATTGGTGGTGTGGACTGGATAAAGTGCGACAAGCCGGGACCATCGTGCGTGGAGCATCAGCCGGAGGCCAGAGACACCGGGATTTCTGACCCACCGACACCATTGCTGCGTGTATGTATCAGAGGTTACATCACTCGCACAGAGCGGTAGAGTCAGCTTAACAGATTTGCCATGGTAAAACTTTCCGCTCTTCTCGGTCGACACAGCGGGGCTAAATTTCGGGTTTTGACCCTTTTCTGAAACTTATTCAAGATCTGATCCTAGTTTGAATTTTTTTCGAGATCTGACCCTTTTGCTACCGCCAGGGTTCATGGCGGTAGGATATAACAGCCTACCGCCAAGGTCCCTGACGGTAGGGTTCAGTGGCGGAGCTTGGCCCAGAAATCTGGGCGGGCCGGCTGTAGGAAATTACTCTAGGGGTTGTGTTTCATTGGCCAAAAATACGTACATACTGCAGGAAAATCATATGGGCTGGGCGGGCCACGGCCAATTCGGCCTTGCCGTAGCTCCGCCACTGGTAGAGTTGCATGCCCTACCGCAAAATCCCGCTAAATATTGAACACAATGCCTGCTCGTGCCTACCGCCGAGCACCCTGACGGTAGGAAACATCCCTACCGCCAAACAGATTGGCGGTAGCCTGTACAACCCTACCGCCAAGGTCCCTGGCGGTAGGCTGTTACACCCTATCGCCATTGACTCTGGCTGTAGCAAAATGATCAGATCTTGAAAAAAATTCAAACTAAGGTCAGATCTCGAATAAGTTTCAGAAAAGGATCAAAACACTAAATTTTGCCACACAGCGGTAAAATGACTTCTCGCTAGTAAGCAAACTGATGACGAGTTATGGTAGAATGGTAGACAACAACACAACAATAGCTACGTGTACTCAGCCACGGCCGCGGGCTTCAGGGTCCTGGCCGGGTGCTGCCCCGGAGACGCACTCGTCGTGGGTGTTTGCCGTGTTGGTGGTAGCCTCCGACAGGATACCGAGGGAGAAAACGCCCAGTGGCCTTGAGCTGGATGTGTAGCTGCCTTCATACATGTTGCCGCTCTTCACCACGATCACCATCTCGCACTTCTCTCTGAGGAGGAGATCAATCACGTGCTCCAGCGAGGTTGAACAAGGCACGCACAGTGGTGGCCTCGCCATTGAAAGAAGAGGCGAGTCCATCTGCAAAAGGAAAATATAAGTGTTCAGGATCACACGAGAATGCTTCCAAGAGAAAATATCAAATATGTTGCAATTGAAACTGGAGTATGGGTTTGTCCTTCCGTGCAAATCGAAATTAGTTGAATAATTAACCCCCTCCGAGTAAACCGACAGTTACATCTGATCTACCATCCAAAGAATGGATTCGACTCGACTCGTATGACGTTGCCCGTACATTTTTCTACTTCTTTCACGGACAACTGAACCAAGTATCCTAATGGCACCGCCAATGCTTGTGACCGGTGCTCCTCAAACTCTACACCAACAGGCAATAGTGCCTACCGAATATCCATTTCTGAATCCAAGCTCATCTGATCTTGGTGAACTGTAAAAAAAATGATTTTTGTTTGCATGTAAGATGTTTGAGTGCGTGAGGTCCTTGTCAAATTTCAGCTCATTTGGACATCTAAGTAGCTCTCAGCAAAAAAACAAATCGGTCGGAATAGTGCATAAACAGTCCACTTTTTCACAGACCCCAATTTTGTTGTTTTTGTTGAGAGCTACTTAGATGTCCTAACGAGCTGAAAATTGGCACGGTCCTCAAGCACTCAAACATGTTCCATGTCAAAAAAAAAATCAGATTTTTTTTATTTTTCTAGTATTTTTTTTATTTTACTGTTCATAGGCATGAGGGGAGCAGATGAGCTCTGGAGCCATTTAGCCGCTCTCCTATGCACCGCCATACTTGAGCTTTAAAAGGCCAATCCAAGCAATAACAGTACATGCATTTTCGTGTCATCTAGCCTACTTCTCTAGTTAACACTTAACAGTGGGCAACTAATGAACACAACACAGATTTTTAACGGCGTAAGTTAATGCTGCCAGCCACACCCAGCTTCTACCTCACCAGGTACTATGCCGCCCGTTAAGATGTCAAAATACCGTTCCTTGCAACAAAATTCAGTTCCAGCTGTTCCAAAAGATTTCATACCTTGGTACAATCGCGGCTGTGAACTATTCCAACACAACTTCCCCAGTCATTCACAAGAGGAACTGCAGAGTCTTTCAAGAATCGCATCGCAACATTTTCCAAGATCAAGTCAGCACCTAACGGTCGACTTTCTCGAAATGAAATCATATACTTCTCAACAGGATCATTCAAGAGAATCTACAATGTCATTAGACAGGAGTTAACATAACCAAGTTAAAGTGGATATAAGATACAAACGAAATGAATACACAACCTGTGGAAATACATGTGGTCTAAGAGGAGAGTTGGTGAATCCAGATAGCGTTTCAACTTTGAGTGCCACCTGGTATGAACAGAAAGGAACAAAACTTAACAATGACCATGTTTCCACTTCGTCAGATCAAGTTCATAGAATTGGCAAAACAAACAGAATATTTGCTATATCATCCTGGCACCCAGTCCCATCATCGAAAAAACTTAGCAGTTTCACCAATCTAGATACATCAAACACATGGAACTTCAAACAAAAAAAAGAACATGCACTAGCTATTGTCACCTGCTACCTCTGTACCAAAATATAAGACACTTTTGTAGGCTAAACTAGCCAACAAAAACGTCTTATATTTTCATACGGAGGGAGTAGATGTTGGTCCTGTACTTCAGAAACTAGACTGGCAATGCATAAGATGAAAACTAAGCAAGCATTCATTTCATGAGAGAGCTCATGTACGAAAGAGAGATAATTATGCTCCTGCCCTTCACAACAACAAAAGGCATGCAAGGCTCGAATAAACTATTTGCTTCGTTAGTTGCATGAAATGAATCCATAGAAAATGTTCCATCTGAAAACTTGCATCCTATATTGAAACCGCTGCCATTTCGTGGATGGGTAGTGGATCTGATTGGTAAGCCAGCGGATTAAAATATACAAGCTGGACCCCAAGATTGGGGTTCGGGTTGAAAAGAGAGAAACGAAAACATTCATATAAACACTGGCGCAGAAATAACTTTCCGGCGATTGTTAGGATATCGGTTATGTTTGAGGGTCGGCCAGAGGAAGACGGATTCAGCTAGAAAAGCAAGGCTTGTGGTGCCTTGGCTATCGAGAGTTTGGGGATGCCCTTAACAGCTAGTATCCCAGGCAAGTAAAGTTCAGTCATAGGTCTTTATAAGTTGACTTATTACTTCATATGTACCAGACTACCAGTTGACTTATTACTTCATATGCCAAGCACCCTCCGTAGAATTAGTACTTAGGTTACAAACTTCAATGCAGAATTAAAAGAACATACCAGGCCTACTCTACTTCTCCAAGAGAAATGCTCCTTCCCGTTAACTATTCTTCTGAGAAGTCTTCTAGCCACATCTACCTGTACAACAATAAATCAGCCAGCAAGGCATTGAGTCGCATGAACATGGGCATTTGAAAATCTCAAGACTGTTTTGGCAAAGAGAAAAGACACTGCAAGGAGTGAAGAAATCATGATCATTGCACTGCTGTATTGCATCTAGTAACATAGTCCAATCTGAAGGAAAAATGTTCGAGTTTATCCAATCACAGGATAACTGGAGAAGGCCTGTTTTTTCCTTTATAGTTTTACACTCAATCTTGACAAGATCTTTCTTAGACAAACAAAAAAATAGAGGAATCTATTCACAAGATTTCGACAGCACATAACACAATCTTTTAAAGTGATTAAAATCATGCAATTAAGAAACAAAATAATAATAATACAGTATCCATCTAGTGTGGTATGACAAATGGGGAACAATATACTCTTAGCACCATAGTGAAGCCTCATAGAACCGCAGAAAACGATGAAAACAACAATGTGACTTCAAAAAAAAATACACGAACTGAAGACAGTGAATTATGTACAGGTTTGAAACAACATGAGAATATATTTGCACGAAAGGACTTTGAAGTTGGTTCATTGGGCAAGATCCCTTCAACGGTACATAGACTTTAACAGAATATACTTTCGGATGCGTCCATGGTAAGCACATCAGCACTAAAGGTGCAACTGTTCTCTTACATAGTATGCATCCCACTACAAAAGGTCTTGTTATTTTATCAAATTCTGTGAAACTTCAGTAGACTTAGCAATCAACTGACCGACGTATTGCATGGACAGCAACTCCAAATTAATTTCTCATTTGCCTCTTGTTTAGCGTACCTGATTGTTATTTATAGCAGCTTCCATTAATAGCTCATCTGCCTCTTGTTTAGCTGAACGGCTAATGGATCCAACTGAATCTGGCCACATGCGTTCTTTCAATCTCCTTACCATATCAAAATCACCTATAGTAGCAAAAGCTCTCATGATTGAAAGATAAAGATGAGGTTTGGGCCTCAAGTCTTTGTTGTCGCCAGCCTGCTTTATTATCTCACCAAAAATGCAAAGAGCCCCTACAACAACAGAAGCATATTAGGACATCTACACCCAGAAGGTAGCAATATATTTTAAACCAACCAGGCTACATATTCAAACATGAGAATTCTATTTGCAGTTACATTGTGCAAGAAGATTTTTGGAAGAGGAGACAACTAAGGGCGCAGCAAGATTGTCGCATACAAATGTTTAGGTTTCTTCCTTTCTCACAATATATGGCCCAAATATAATGGAACATGCAATAGCACTGCTTTTCTCCCAATATGCTGGTCATGATTGTCTTTCCATATTTATGTTCACATAAATCATTGATGTCAGATTGGCATCCTGGACCGACCAGGAACTAAGAACTATAAAGGAAAAAAGTCACATAATGTTTTTCTCAAAAACAGAAGGTCACACAAGGCTTAATTGTTACAGAGGTTTAGGCAAGTAAACATCGAGTTGTTATATGCTGGGTCATAAATCAAATACGATGTACTCTCGGAAAAAAAAATCAAATACGATTCGAAAAAAACAGATGTGGAAACCAGATTCCAATCATTTCATATCAAATTGACAGTTGCATTGTGTAACTCAACCACTCTAAGAGCAAGTCATCCACAATTCATGACAGAAGCTCTAATTTTGGCGTAAGATCCCTGAATAGGATGATTTGGAATTAATAGCTTGGTTAAGAATATCGAAAATGTAACTGTATCTTGAGGGCTAGTTTGGATGGAAAGGGATTAGACCTAATTCCCTCAGATGGGACTGAAAACTGAACAAAAATCCATAAGAATAAAAGGAATTTGGTTTAGTCTCTGTCAATTGACCCAAACAAGCCTAAATGTGCTTTTATAAATTGGATATGCCGTTTCCCCATTTGGGATATAAAATGGTAAAATAAGGGGTGTTAGAACAGTAGTACTACTAAGGTCTCTCAATTAGAAAATAACATCAAATTTTAGGATGACAGCTGGGAGCTAGGCCACTTGTTAGGGCGTGTATAATGGTGCTATCTTATGAGTGCCATGTAGGATAAATGGTGAGGTGGAGGAAAGAGAAACCAGAAGAAAAGGCTTGCATTCTCTTAATTAAGAGATGACCTCTTAGGAACAATATCTCTCACCACATATTTAGGTATATCTAGTTACTAGAGATAACATTAAGAGATAACCCATTGTACATCATTTTCTATTGACATCTCTAGATTATGTGACGGACTTAAGATAGGACTGCATTATCAACCACTGTACATGCCCTTAGTGATATACCGCTTCTATTTTCCAACCTGTAAAGATGCAGTGTGTTACCAAGCAAATTGGCCCACTAAAAATTGCTATATAGCTTACCGTCAATGGACCCACAAGCTAGAAAGGCATCTGCCATAGCTGTGTATGCAGTCCTGTCAATTGAAACAAGTGATGATTTCATCTCCACCACAATCTTCAGAACTGAATAAAGATCTTGGCTATTTCCTAAACCCTGCAACATGCTTCAATAACTTGCACAATTAAAATCATAAAATGATTCTGAATACACAATTAACCAAAATAGCATGTCAAAGTATTTAAGGCAATCAATGAATAACCTTAAGTAATGTTGTGTAGGTAACAGCATCCGGGAGGAGTTCAGGATTATCATCCCTTTTAGCTTCATCCTGCATTTATGAGCAACTAATTTTCATTGACGAGGCAACTACATGTGTATGCAAGACAATTTTGTGGCTAAAACTGGCCTTTCCAACCCTTGTGTGACACCTTCATATCTTCAAGAAATTGGAAAGCCTTCTCAATCTCTGCTGATTTTACACATGCAAAAATGATGGTGTTGTACGTCAATCTATCAGGCTTCAATCCTTGACGCAAGATCTCATCTTTAACAGTTAACGCTCCAAGAGGGAAGCTGCTTTTTATGTATCCCTGGAGGGTGTCCAATTCAGAAACTTATGAAACTGCAACTGAGACAGTAATGCAAAAGAACAGATAACTTAAGGAAATAATTACAAGGGAAACTAAGAGATACCTTCATCAGTAAGTTGTATAGTAACACCGACTGTCCTTCGTAAAGGACTTGGCGAAAACGAGCAACGAGAGCATTGGCACGCCTCATATCTCCTGGACAAAATATGAAGTTGAATTTCATCAGTAACCGTACAGCTAATGTAGGTAAGAAAACTTTCCAGTGGTAAACAGCTATCCATAGAATATTGTAATAAAAACAAATAAAATCTGTAATGAGAACATGTCATAAGCATAACCAATCATCAACACATCAAACTTAGCTCCACTACACTATGCAACAAAAAAAAGACCCAAAACCTAAGTACATAGGGCTATTTAGTTAGTGATGTCTCCTTTTGTTATCTCCACTATACGAGTAAGTATTCAGTAGTGACATGCCTTTTATACCTCGACGAGGCTTTCTTCGGAGTGGTGTGTGAGGTATATTGTGAGCGGGTTCTGACAGTCTTCGCCCGGTTTTTTGTTGATTAACGGGCAACTCTCTTCTTCTTAATTGATGGATGAACAAGCCTATTGCCTCCGTTTCAAAAAAAAATGCAAAGAAATGCAGCCAATGGCCAGTTTACTTACAACAACAGCCTTATCTTCTACCCCCTCCGTCCCATAATATAAGTGTTTTTGACACTAGTGTAGTGTCAAAAACGCTCTTATATTATGGGACGGAGGGAGTATTTGTTAGTTGCTTCATAGCCAAGTTATATGCTTCAATAGAGCTCAATTCGGCATTGTGGTGGATTATGATAATCTCATTTGTCCAAACTTCTTTAGCTATCTTACTGTATGTTTAACTAACTTTTTCCTGTTAGGAATAGGCAACTTGTATTCCCATGAGGCCATAGGCCGATATATATATACATGTACAGGTGTGGAACATATGCAGGAAACCCCTTATACAACGGGATAAATACAAAGGGGTACATGACTTATATTATAACTCTAACACCCCCCCTAAAACTCATGGTGGATGAACAACACTGAGTTTGGAGAGATAAAAGCCATGTTGTGCTCTAGTCTGGGCCTTCGTCAGGAAATCCGCCAACTGTAACTCGGAAGGCACATACTGAAGAGCAATAACCTGATCCTGCACACCAGCGCGCACACAGAAAGCATCAAGACCAATATGCTTGGTGAGCTCATGCTTCACAGGATCGCGCGCAATGCTGATAGCACCTGTACTGTCAGATAAGAGCAGAGTCGGTGTAGTGACAGAAACACCAAAATCCTGAAGTAACCACCGTAACCAAGTCACCTCTGCCGTCAAAAGAGCCATTGCTCGCAACTCAGCCTCGGCACTCGAACAGGAAACTGCAAGCTGTTTCTTCGTCTTCCAGGCAATGAGAGAACCACCAAGAAAAACACAGTAAGCAGAAAGTGAACGGCGATCTGAAGGATCACTAGCCCACGTAGCATCCGAATAGGCCTGAAGCTGTAAAGAACTGGAGCGAGGAAAGAAGAGACGGTGAGAGATCGTGCCTAGAAGATATCGGAGAACACGAAGGAGATGACTATAGTGAACCGATGTGGGAGTAGAGACAAACTGACTCAGAATATGAACCGGATAAGAGATGTCCGGACGAGTGACAGCTAGATAGACAAGACTGCCAACAAGATGACGATAACGCGTCGGGTCAGGGAGAGGATCACCATCAGTAGCACGGAGGTGAACATTGAGCTCCATAGGAGTCTCAACAACGCGCTCGTTAGTAAGAGCAGCACGAGCAAGAAGATCCTGGATATACTTTTCCTGGGATATAAAAAAGCCATCAGAGGTAGAAGAGACTTCAATCCCAAGAAAGTAGCGAAGAGGTCCAAGATCAGACATAAGAAACTGCTCACTAAGACGGGCCTTTACAAAGGCAATATACTCGGGGTCATCCCCCGTGATGATCATGTCATCAACATAGAGAAGAAGAAGAGTCCGACCACGAGGAGAAAGGTGAATAAACAATGCTGGATCATGAGCACTTGCTGAAAAACCAGCAGCAGTGATCACAGAGGCAAAGCGCTCAAACCAGGCGCGGGGGGCTTGCTTAAGGCCATAGAGAGAGCGACGAAGACGACATACCATGCCATCAGGAACAGAATACCCAAGTGGTGGCTGCATGTACACCTCCTCACACAGCTCACCATTAAGAAAGGCATTCTTAACATCAAGCTGAGATATAGACCAGTGGCGTGCAGAGGCAACGGCAAGAAGTGTACGAACAGTGGTCATATGGGCCACAGGAGCAAAAGTCTCGTCATAATCACGACCGTGCTCCTGCTGAAAACCACGAGCCACAAGACGAGCTTTGTGACGCTCAAGAGAACCATCGGAGCGAGTCTTAACCTTGTAGACCCACTTACAAGTGATCGGACGGACTCCGGGAGGAAGAGAAACAAGATCCCAGGTACCAGTGCGTTCAAGAGCAGCAATCTCCTCTGCCATCGCAAAGTGCCATTCAGGATGAACAACAGCCTGACGGTAAGAAGTCGGCTCAAGAACAGCAACACCAGCGGTGGGAAATCCAAAGCGATCAACAGGCGAACGAGGACGAGAACGCAAGCCATAAGTAGGTTGAGAGGAAGATGACGACTCATCCACAGAGGCATCGATTGGTCGTGGACGACGAGTGTAATGCTGAGGAAAAGATGGAATAATAGAAGGAGGAATCGTCAAGGTAGAATCGGGGGGTGGCGACGAAGAAGTCACCGGAGATGAAGGTGTAGAATCCGGTGACATGCTGGGAGAGGAGACCGGGGAGGAAGTCACCGGAGATGAAGGTGGAGAACCCGGTGACATGCTAGGTGAGGAGACCGGGGAGGATGGTGGCTGCAAATCAACTAGAGGTGGAGAAGGAGAGGAAGTGGAACGGAGAGGTACAGGCTCGACGGGGGTGATAGGTGAGTCAGGAAAAGTGAGGAAAGAGATATCCTGCACTTAAAAAGTCGAGGAAGATGGGCGTGGGTAGAAGGGACGAGACTCATCAAAAGTCACGTCTCGAGAGATACGCATCCGACGACCGATAGGATCCCAACAACGATAGCCCTTATGCTCATCACTGTAGCCTAAGAAGACACACTCAACAGACTGAGCGGTCAGTTTGGTGCGTTCACGAGGGGCAAGAAGAACATAGCAAACACAACCAAACGAGCGAAGCATCGAATAATCGGGAGAACGATCAAAAAGTCGCTCGAAAGGAACACCACCCTGTAGAGCAGCGGAAGGTTGTATATTGATAAGATAGGTGGATGTGGAGACGGCCTCAGCCCAAAAATGAGGCGGGAGAGAGGCAGCAATCATCAATGCACGAGCCGTCTCAAGAAGATGTCGATGCTTTCGCTCAGCCACACCATTCTGAGCATGAGCATCAGGACAAGAGAATTGAGAGAGAGTCCCTTGCTCAGCAAGAATACCACGCAACATCTTAGAGATATACTCGCCAGCGGAGTCAGCACGAAAAACACGAATGGGTGAAGAGAACTGAGTATGAACCATGGCAGCAAAACGCTTATAAATAGACAACACCTCAGAACGAGAAGTCATGAAATAAAGCCATGTGTAACGAGAGAAATCATCTATGAAAATAATATAGTATTTATGACCACCTTTCGAAGCGAAAGGGGCCGGACCCCATACATCAGAATGGACTAAATCGAAAGGACGCTTGGACACTGACTCACTATGTGAATATGGTAACTGAATCTGCTTGCCAAGACGACAACCCTGACACTCTAAAGAGACATCTCCTGAGACAAACCCCAGAAGACCTCGACGAACTAAAGAAGACAACCGAGAACCACACAGATGACCAAGTCGATGATGCCACTGCTGGAAGGAACCAGTAACGGAGGCGACAGAAGCGGAAGAACTGGCGATGGTGGTGGCAGCGGAAGGAACATGAAGCCAGTCCAACTCCCAAAGACCCTGAGAATCACGGCGGCGAGGGCCAGCCCCAACCAGAGTGTGCGTGCGACGGTCCTGGACAGAACAAGAGTCAACGTCAAGGATGACGCGACAACCAGAATCAGTAAGTTGACCAGCAGAAAACAGATTCATGGTAAGTCGAGGAACATGAGCAACATCAGGAACAGAATAAGAAGGAGTGGTAAGATTGCCTCTACTAGCAACAGAAAGTGGAGTACCATCAGCAGTGAAGACATGAACAGGAGAATCCAGTGATCGAAGAGAGGACAAAGTGGAAGAATGAGAAGACATGAAAAGAAGCTCCAGAGTCCAGAACCCATGGGGATGTACCTGACTGTGTAGAGGGTGATTGCTCAGTGCGGGAAGCATCAGTCACAGAACCAGCAGTACCCGTCGAGGAAGAACCTGAAGTCGCGAGCAGACGCTTAAGTCTCAGAATATCCTGCTCAGTCAAAGCAATGGCTGAAGCTGTCGAGGTAGATGACGAAGTCCCTGAAGATGATGATCGCGCCTTGCGCAGGTGTTTCTTCTTCGTGTAGCACTGAGACTCAAGATGACCATCATTGTTGCAATAGTCGCAATGTGGACGGGGGCGACCTGAGCCTCCAGAAGGAGTGGGCAAGAGCGGCGGAGCACTCGAGCGAGAAGGGGTTGGTGCAGCAGGTGGCGTAGGAGCACGAGTAACGAGCACAGAGGGAACCTCCAGCAAACCAGCACCACGTAAGCGAGTCTCCTCAGCACGAATCTCAGAAAGCGCCTCCATGAGAGAAATACGGCCACGAGCAAACAACTGAGCACGCCGGGGCTCAAACTCCTTACGGAGCCGAGACAGGAACTCATAGACGCGATGAAACTCCAAATTGGCCTGGACAGCCTGGCAACAGGGGCAGGTACGACAACCAGCACTGCGGAGAGAATCAAGCTGGCGCCAGATAGCAGAACTCTGTGCATAGAAGTCATCAACAGTAGAGTCTCCCTGCTGAAGAGCATGCTCCTGACGGACCACAGAAAGGTACAGGGCATCATCAGAGGGCTCATAGCGCTGACGAAGACGGGTCCACATCTCAAAGACAGTAGGAAGACCCAGAAACTCAGGAGCAAACTGGGGCAGAACACTAGCAGTGAGAACAGCTGCAGCACGAGCATCATCATCAAGCCATTGGGTGTAAACAGACAGAGCACCATGATATGTCTGAAGAGCCTCCTCATAAGCCAAAACCCTCTCATAATAAGCACGATCAGCAGCCTCATCAGCAAGCTTAGCCGCATCCTTGGCGGCCTGATTAGCATCCGTAGGAAGAACCGGTGGAGTCGGCGGAATAGGAGCCACCGGAGGAACCGGACGTGGCGGACAGCAGACCTTGACAGAAAGAACACCCCAAAGACGGATGCCACGCATGTGAATGTGCATGAAGCCAGTAAACTCGGTGTAGTTAGTACCATCAAAGATCACCGGACAGCGGGGGACAGCAACATAGCCCGATGCAGCAGACTTTTTTTTTAGGAATCCAAAGTCGGGCCTGCGAGCGAGAGATGAGATCGAGCGATCAGGCGGAGGTGGCAGTGCGGGAGCGATGGAATCCTTCCTGCGGGACGAACCCCTGCTGGGCCTGCTGAGCGATCACGCAGAGGCGGCCTTCGAGCGATGCTGAGATCGAGCGGGAGCGGCAGCTTCGGTGCTTAGCGATCAGTCGATGGAGTCCTTCGAGCGATTCAGAGATCGAGCGGGAGCAGCAGCTTCGATCGCCGATCGGGAGAGGAGAGAGATCGCCCCCTGCGGCCTGCTGCTTCGATCGCCGATCGGGAGAGGTGAGAGATCGAGAGAGGAGATCGATCTGGAGAGGAGGGATCGAACGCACGAGTTGCAGCGTGCGAAAAAATTAACCTAGCTCTAATACCATGTTAGGAATAGGCAACTTGTATTCCCATGAGGCCATAGGCCGATATATATATACATGTACAGGTGTGGAACATATGCAGGAAACCCCTTATACAACGGGATAAATACAAAGGGGTACATGACTTATATTATAACTCTAACATTTCCTACTTCCATGGCTATTTTTCCACAGCATATTATAAAATAAGTTCAGCAAAACTAGATTGCAACAAAATGTGGTGCAGTCTGAAAAGATTGCTCGGAGGTGGTTCATATGTGCAACCCATTTTTTTTAATATTGTGTGCAACCCATTTTGATATACACACAATAGAATACTCCCTCTGTCCCATAATGTAGTGTCAAAAAACGTCTTACATTATGGGACGGAGGGAGTACAATTTACTCGCTGAAACTAACACTATTTTGGGGCATGGGCATGCTTGTGTAACCAAAATACTACTTATACACCAGAATACTGCTTCCCACGGATGAGCCAATTGAATTTAGGACTTTGATTCTGATATCAGTTGATTTTTATGTTAAGCTATTTTTGTAATTCCGACCAATGACTTATCCTCGCCATAGTGTTCTTCTTAGACTTCTCTAGTAGTTGTCTCTGGCGTCTCTAGTGATTTTGTGCATAAGGGGCAATATACTTGGTGCAACATACAAACATATTGTAAAACGGTCCATCTTGCACCAACCTGCTTCGATAAGGGCGTTTAGAAAACCACATATAAGATGAGGAGAGAGCCGGGGGCTCCCATCAGAAGTATCTTTCTCAACTGATTCCAGTATCTCGAAAGCTTCATCAATCCTTCTAGCTATCCCCAGACCCTTCAATTATAGCACATTGATTATAAGATTGTACCAGACCCTTATTTAAACCAAGCAATCAGCAAAATACACCACGTATTTTCAGAGATATCACTGAGGTTAATCCCTTGAAGGTGCAAGAATGTAATGTGGTGATTAGAGAAGGAATACTCTGAGGAGCACAAATATAAGGCGGCTGCCCCTCAAAAGACAAATATAAGGCGGCTGTTCATACAGAGTTAACACATTGATGGCTCAGACAATCTGGGATGGAAATTTAATGGAGTTCATAGAGCATGGTGAATGCATTTCAATATGACGCAAAAACTCGAAATGGCACCTAGAGCGTTCATGAATCATAGCGGTCCAAACAATGAATGTCTCAGGCAGCACTGGTACACGAGTGGGAGGGGAGAGGGGGCATACCTTGAGCAGGATGCCGTACGAGACGCCGTCGACGCCACACCCCATGGGCCCGCGCATTTCGTCGAAGAGCTGGACCGCGAGGTCGACGTCGCCGCAGCTCACGCAGGCCTCCAGCACGGCGTTCATCACGATGATGTTGACACCCCCTCCCCTTCCTGAGCGCGCGCGCCGCTTGGACGCCTCCACCTCCGCCATGATCTGCGCCCGCGGAGCATCCGCCACGCGCGCAGCGGAGCCTTGAATGAGAACGGGAAACCACCCCAATCTAAAACGGACGGAACGAATGGGTCGGCAACAGGGGTAGCGTACCTGGGCTAGCTGCCTGCGGCGGGTGAGGTCCACGATGCGGGCGGTGAGACGGCGGAGGTTGGGCGGCGGGCGCTTGTTGGAGGAGGGGCGGGGGCCGGGGCCGGGAGGGCGGGCGGAGGAGGGGT